TTAAAACCTGTAGAGCGCACACACACACACACACACAAAAACACCATCAGATCATTCTACTTTCTGCATTATAAAGTTCATCACATCGCTCACTTCTTTAAAACACATCTGTCTCAAATCTTCACATTAATCGGTAAAGTTTCGTCTTTCACACTGATTAAACGCACAGCTGATACGATTAGTCCACTAATCCATTAGACAGATTAGAATACTGATTGCCAACTATGTGAGATTATTGATGAAAAGTGTCAAACATTTATTTGATTTCAGCGTCTCCACTGTGAGGATTAAACTGAACCTCTACGGACCTTTAAAAGACTGTAAACTGTAATGATTTTAAACAAATAATCATTACAGAAAACCGACAATTGTTAATTCAAGCCTCGTCTACACGCAGATGATGTCGCCTGAGCTCAAGACTATAGAATTACTCCATGGTTACTTTGGTAATGCATAAGTATAACAGTAGCTCCACTTTCCTCATTGACAAAGGTAACTGTGGCTGTTGAGTGTTCATTAAGTTGCACCGTAAAGAATCTGAGGTCTGGTATGTGGTTTAGCAGTGACGTGATCCAGGTCTCTGGGTGATCAGGGATTCAATTGTGACAGTCTGAGTGAGAACTTCCCACAGTGAAGTCTGGGAAAGGTTGAGTCAAGATTTACACCCAACAATCGAGACCAAACAGCAGGAAAACCTACAGGAAATATCTGTCGCAGGAAGAAATGTTTTGCATGAATGTAAAATAGTAAGGAATATTATGGCTCCATGTGAAAAGTTTGAGGTATCTGACCAATTTTAGCAGGAAAGTTTTGTTTTTGAGGATTTAAATCAGATTTTATACATATCTGGTGACCAAACCTTTTTCAAAGTGCCGACATTTTGAACTCAAATGATGGTGTAGGCTAAATAGTGGTTCATTCATGGCCAGAAACAAAGCAGCTGTGAAGTGTAAAAGCAGAAAGGCAGAGTGGAGGCGGTGCATCAGTTCACATATTCCCTGTTTTCCACATCAAATGTTTTTAACAGAACACACAAAAGGCAGGAAATCAGCTTTTACTACCTGCAATTCCCCTGAACCACAAAACTCAGATGGAAAGAAATAGAAGCTCTGTGTTTTATCCTTCTGAAATGAAACCTTTTCACCAACATTTCAGCTTTAACTATTGAAAATAAACCCCCAATCATGGCTGTTGGAGTTAAGGTTTTATTGATTATGTGCTCTTTAGTGTATTATGTGTATGCCGAATGTAAACAAAGATGTACCAGATATAGAAAAATTACTTTTAGATTTTAAGAGTTGCTACAAAGTGAGGCAACTTTTAATTACACTTTTCTGTAAAGGAGTTTGGTTTAAAGCAGCGGTCTACTACTACAGACAGTACAAGTAGGTGTGGGATAAATAAAGGTTTTTATCATATTACAGTTTGAACAGGTTGTTATCTGAAATGTGTGTTTCCAAAGCCAATAAATCACATAAACACGAGCTTTAGGACACACTTTTCAAGTCAGTATAGACTCAATATCAAACGTATTTTTCGTATTAAAGTTGATCTTATTCACATGCTGTCTTTTCCCAACGTGAACCAATTAAAACATTGAGATTTTACTGGCTTCAAGTCCTCTATGGTAGATTTCACGGGTGCCGATTTTAACAGGACACCTGACTTATTCAGCAAATGTCTACAGTCCGCTTCCCGAGGGTCTGCAGACCGACAGCAGGGCGACCGAGCTTTAAAATGACGCTTTTTAAATTAGACTTTGGTTTCTAACGTTGCGCAAAAAAATGGGTCGGACAGACAGGTGAGAAAGGTAGCGTGACTCACTCAACCTGACTTTAAAAACACTGCGGGCCGCTTTGAACTAAACTGTATCCTTAAACTTCAGTTGTTAGTGTAGTTAGACAAACTCACTGTGCAGTAATATTAACATTTAACAGCAGATGAGACAGAAAACACTCCAGAAACTGAACTTTCTTCTTTTTTTTTGGAGACTTGAGACGACGCAGCAGCAGCAGCAGCTTTAACTAACGTCAGTTCAGAGTCGTTAAAACAACAGTTTAAAGCACAAACTGTGTGTTTTTACCTTGAAACCACATCGCTCCTGGTTGGCTCTTTTGTTGCCTGAGGTCGTAGATCCACAAGAGAAATATAAAACCAGAAATAACCCGCAGAGAGAGATGAGGAAACTCCGAGGGGCCGCCATTCCTCCCTCAAGTCTGAACAACTCTGAGAGGAGGAGAGGAGGAGGAAGAGGAAGAG